CAGGGCTGGGGGGGGGCGGTAGCCCTGGTTGGGGGTCGCAACCCCCCATTTGAAATATAAAAGAAGCGTTTTTTTGTATCATAGATTGCAATTTTTCGCTGCTTAAGACGCATTTTTGAAGCGTCAAAACCTCACCTTCTTCGTCCCTGGATACGTGACAAGCTAATATTTTTTCGAGTTGCTTAGCCCCGTGCTTTTCAAACCTGTATGACCCGTGTCCTCTCAACGACTATCGACTTTTTTCATTAGAAATAACGAGTTTTGCTTCAAAAGGCTCCATTTCGTTCATGACATCAGGCGAGTCTTGCCAAGCAAATTCTCTGGGCGTTTTTGCATTGTCTCTCCGAACAAGGCTATTCAGCTTGAGTAGTTGCATTTATTTTATTTAGATATGAAACGTTTTGCCAAGCCTTCCACTCAAAACAAGGGTGTTTGTACAAAAATTCACTGACAAGTAGGGTGTACCTATTTCAGGTTGAAAACCCGTTCGCTAAGTGTATACATTTTTCAAAAAAGATCGCTTAAAGTAAATTACCGGACTAAAAGCGAAAAAAATACTGATAGAAAGAGTTGTACTGTATGAAAAACAGAATCAGCAAATATGTGACACCCTTCTTAAGCATTCCAGGCACACTTTGCGCTTTTTGAATATTAATTCTTTGTTTTAACCCCGTTGTTTATTACTAATAGACCCCGGGCGCTCCCTCTTAACGTTGTCTTGTCAAGTCGTTCCCTAAAACCCGATACTTACCTTCGCGCGTCATCTTATTTACTCACTATAATCCTGCATAACTTCATTGGCACTTCAGTAAATGCTCTTAACTTTGCTTTTGTATCAGTCTTATTTACTTTCAAGTAAGTATGTGTAGCCTACTAGATTTTCAGTTTTTCTCCGCAAAATTACTCAATTATGAGTCTATTCTTCTCTGAGCGAGTACACGTGACCTTGCTTCGAGCAACTTTTGAACGAAACCAACAATACACCCAAAAAATACTCCAGCATATTCAAAGGCACAGAAAATTGAATGCTATCCCTCGCAGAAAGACAGTAACGACAGCTCTACAGCTTTTTCCAACAAATAGCTTGAAGTATATAAAACTATAAAAAGACATTCAATTTTACATAAATTTCAACAGTGTAATATCGCATCATTTTTATGCCAAGCCGAAACCAGTCTTGAAAACAAAAACCCAATCTCACAATATTAAGACTTGAGTACCTCTTCGAGAGAAGATAAGTAATCTCAAGTGCCACTTGATGTCGCTCAAGGAGAGCCAATAAATCCTCTTTCCTTTTATCTTAAGAATCAAATTTTCATAACGCGCGCTTGATATGGTTTTCGATATAAAAAAAATTGTGTATTTAAGTGTAAATTCACAGTAATTTAAACTCAAAATAAAAATGTATGAACATATGAAAGCATATGTAAGGCAGATTGTTGCCTTATACGTATATTCATACTTTTGCTAGGAGCAATGCTTTTTACAAGAGTTATCTAATATGCTTAGACTGAGTGATATAATAACATTAAAAATTTATTGAAATTTACGATTTTTTTACAATTGTCTTTGATGGTTATTTTTAATATACTTTGTTTTGACATGACAGTTCGCGGGAGTCCGCGCTGATTAACCTAAACTAAAGGTTTAATTTATGTACGGTATATTTTTGTGTCTTTATTTTGAAATTTAGAATTCAGGTTTTGATTAGCTGTTGAAATAAGCGATGGCTTATATAACCATATAAATAAATTTTGAAGCCTAGATTTTGATTGGTTGGTTTGATAAGCGATCGGCATGGTCACAATAGCTGAATTAATAACCTCTGAATATACAAAATAAATTTCAAAAAATATAAGAATGAAAAACCGATATGTTTGAGATATTATATAAACGCTTTACTTTCATTCATCACTTTTTTTTATGGTGCAACCTGACAGAAAGTAATTCCAATAGCAATCTGTAGTCTTTTACCAACCCCTATTTCTGTTAATTGGGGATATTGAAATTTGGGTATTCCTGAAGTATGTGCATCAAGATGTCGCACAACCTGAACCCTGATCTGGTACACAACCTGAGTTCAGGTTGTGCGCCATCTTGGTGCGCATACTTCAGGAAGTCCGAAATTTGATTCCGATTTGAGAAAAAAATGAGCGTATTAAATAAAAAAAAATTGCAAATTAATAATCACTAAAATGGAAGAGAAATATCGGCTAATATGGATGTGCTTGAGCTCTTTAATAAAGAGTTCTGAAATTTTTCTTTATTCGAAGATTGTCACACATCAGCTGCGGAAAAGGCTCAGATGTGGGGCTCCAAAAGTTGATTGGCCGGGGAAAATTAAAAGCGGGAAGATATTCGCAGGCCGGTAGAGGGAAGCGCCCGCAGAGGGGCCGATATTGCTACATATAATTAGGATAATTAGTTATAATTGAATTACTACGAATATACACGTGGCTACACACTGTGATAATGACGTAACAATTGGCGGTTTCTAGAACACAAAATAGTAAAAACATAAAGTATTGAAAGTATTTCACTCATGTTCGGCACCATTACGCGGGCCCTAATTGGCCCACAAGCCGCGGCTTGGGAACCATTGTTCTAGAGCAGGATGGTCCAAATCCAGGCCCGCGGGCTACATCTGGACCCGCCGCTTTATTGTCTGTGGCCCGCGTCACATTCGGAGAGTAATCAAAAAATCGCATTTCGTGTAGTTTTGTAACAAAATTATTCAGAAAATTTGTTTGACATATTGTTACATCAATAATGTCACAGAATTGACTAGTGTTATGGTTAGCTGAGGCAACTAGCGAAGTGGAATGATGTGCTTGGCAGTCTAAATTGTTATCTGGCTTTCTATCTTTTTGGCCGAGAATATACGCTAACAATATAGGCATCATAGAAAACTAAAAATCGAATGCGGAATAAAAGTGTTTGTTTGTATTGCACTATTTACCTATTCTTGGCACTATTGTGGCCCGCGAACAATGCAAAAAGAATTCTGTGGCCCGCGAAGCCGACAACTTTCGACCACCCTGTTCTAGAGATAATAGACCAATGATATGCAAGGATATACTATATTTCTGGAAGAAATAGAAATATTCTCTTTTTCACTTGTGCTGTGTTCAATTGAATTCGTTGCCAATATAAAACGCGTGAGGCATTAAATTCATCTTAACAAGGGAAATTCATGAAAATATGTATCTGAATTTATGAAATTTGTTTGATTGCTCAGTTGAATAGGCCGGTGCTCTTCAACCTTTTTTATCGTGATATACTTTATACAATTTTTCAAGAACTTTGTATACCTTACCTTACAAATACTACCAATGTTTATTTAAGGCTAAAATTGACATTAGATTTTAAGCACATATTGTACAGCAATATCATCATGCAGTCTAATAGGCTAGTGTCCGCAAGTTATAAATTTGACTGACGGCCTTAACGTCAACGGGAATAATGTTTAACGTAAATTAAACGAAGTGCATGACAGCCGAAATCACCAACCCAGACACGTGACGGCATTATCTATATAATCTATATAACTTGTGATGTAACAATGTGCTCACGTCGGTTCTTAGCGTTAATGACATTTTATATTTCACGTGTGCCGCGTTTGCATTGTTGTCTTCGTTTGAATATTTTATAATTTATTTTATTAGAATCCCTGACTTAAGCTGTATACCCTTTATTAGTTGTATAGCCAACTCCTGGTCTCGTATACACTTGGGTATACCGTATACCCGGTTGAAGAGGACTGGAATAGACCTTATGTTCTCAAATGTGCTCCATACGTAGTCCTAGACTCCGCGAGCTATTCGTTAAAAGATTTAAAATACTGAATATTTCCTAAACACAAAGCAGCGAATGCAACCGATTCATCAAATAAATTAATTTTAGTTTACTCAAGAACATCGGTAATAACGACGTTTTTATTTATTTTTATAATTTTTTGTGGGCTCCGTAGATAATAGTCAACCGCTTCACGGGCTCCCTAACGCCAAAAGAATCCAACAAGATTGGGTAACTTAAAAAGAAACAATCCTGATTGACAATTAACTACTCGATTGATTATCTGCAAGGCAATAATACACCAATCCTCGAAAGCACGCTGGCAAAAAATAGGCATTTTATTTTTCATCGTTTATTATTATGATACATTCTCGGTACAGTGAACAGGAAACTTTTAAAAGAACAGACTGCTATGAATAATCAGAATAATGCATGAAATTTTAAAGTTATTGATTCAGTAATGATATTTATTATGCACGGTCCAGTGATACAAAAAGTGAGATTTAAGCTTACCCATGGAAAACGTGGAACTACACAAAAAAAGTTCTTTTCCTCGAGACGTTCTTGTATCTCCATTCCGAGAATGGGACTAAAACTGACATGAGCAAACTATGACACGCGGGTTAAATCCGGCCCGTTCGGTGGTTCAATTTGGCCCGCCTGATGCTGCTACAACTAAAACCAAATTTTGATGTATCAGCTGAAAAATAGCTCAAGGAATTTGTTGAGATTGCGATTAAATTTAGTTTTGGAACGAGACTTATTGTTGTAACACTGTAAATATTGTTCATAAAATGTAACTTTCTATTTCACACTTACATGGCCCACCAGTGCAGGTGGCAAATTTTTTTCCCGGGTCCAAAACCTCTACCTAGTGTTTCCCACACTTTTTGAGCCGCGAACCCCTGTTTTAGAATCCTATTTTTGACGATCCCCCATTGTATGTCGTTTCAATTCCTGTGTCTAACCAACGAAAAAGGATAATGTTTCATTTACATCAGGGGTGTGCAGCCTTTTTCGCAGGCGGGCCAAATATCAATACCGGTTGAAACCGCGGGCACCTACATTTAACTCAGACTTTTTATTAGTTGCAGACACGAAATAGTGTCTTTTTGATATTATGGAAGTGCTAGCAAATCGATATGATGCCCATTTTAGAAAAAAATATGTTACCGAAAAGTGCCATATTTGAAGCCATGAATGTGGATTGTTATCTTGGTTGAGATGTTTTCAGTAAAATACGCCAAGATTCATTTCCAAATAATTTTCTGTCAAATCCTATTCTAGGTTAGATTTAGACAAAATCAATTGATAGTCTGGAACCAAAACTTTTTTAAACTGCTCTCTAGTTGCCTCCGAGGACCGCACAATATCCCTTGCGGGCCGAATTCGCCCGCGGGCCGCACTTTGCACACCTCTGAGTTACATGACAATAACACGAACGATAATAATGTGTAGAATGAGATTGCTTTTGACTGCACAATTTATCAATTCTCGGAACAATTTGTGACAAGCAAACTCGGTCCGGCTCTACGGCAAATCTCGACCTGTGTTTTGTCATCAAATTGGTAAGAGATGAAAATGCTGCCTCACATTTGTGGAGTTTTCTAATTACCCTTTCTGACAGAAATATATATTTGTCCGCAACGTTCCACCAAAAGATGGAATGGCTTTAAATAAATTATTCAAGATCGATCAGACTCTTTTCATATCGTCGCGGGCCACATGTACAGTCATCACAGACCTCCAGGGGTCCGCATGGGAGTTCAGAGCGAAAATGTCACACATTTTACATAAATATGAAAGTTACTGAAAAACTGCAGAAAAATATTAGAGTAAGATTCAACAACATCATAAATAAGATTAAGTCTAAAGATTTTCCAACCTACCAGCGATATTTCAAATTTATGTATTGTCCAAAAGTTTTATGTTTCTTGGAGTTCACGTCAGCCAGATGTATAAAAAGCTGATAAAATCGTATTGCTCAGATTGAAGATTTGGGTATCAAAGATTAGTTTATTACATAATAATTGAGTAACCCCATGTGATATTAATTAAAGGCGGGAAATCATAATTATTCTTGACTTATAAGAATTCATTGTCGATTTCTGTGGTCGACAGATTCGAAGGTCATATTTGTAGATGTCAAGGTCAATCATGACTTTCAAAAATTGGTTGCGTAACAATTGAGTACGTCACGTGGTATATAATGACGGCAACTATTATCATTTTATACGTTTTACGAAATCAGTGTTGATATTGGCGGGAATACGATCTCAAGGTCATTGTTAGATGTCAAGGTTAATCATGACGTTCAAGAATCAGTTTGTTACGTAACAATTGATTACGTCACGTAGTATTTAATGGAGGAAACTCATAGTCATCATCAATTCCCGCGTAAACTCCTTCCTCCGTATCTTCATTATAAATTCCTTTTTCGGTCACAATGGGTTGTATTTGTTTTCCCGCTATTTTTGTCACGTGATTCTTTTTCTGTCGGCCAAGTCTTCCTTTCATTGTACTGATAACGCTGATCCCCTGCACTGCTTTCTTCATGACGTTCTTGGGGCGTGATGTGGGCGGTGGCCTGAATTGAAATTATACAATATATTAATGTTGTAAGTAGGCGGTTTCCAAATTTTTGTATTTACGTTGCCAAATTATCAGGAAAAACCATACGGCGTACTTACATGAAGAGAAAAATTGCCATTATACATTAACTTAATTTTGTGATTGGTAATGTTTATTTTATGCCTTTTTGAAGTTTGTAAATATATGGGCCCAAAGAATATGTGACAATATTTAAAATAGTATCCCTTATTAGGTATGTTTAACAGAATTCTGCTGATTTTCGGTTATTTTTCTGTTAATCGCCACACTTGCACCAAAGATGTAAAGTAGGGTGAAAATTCACACCCAACCATATATTTGAACGACCTCGGATCTGGTCCTAGAATCCGGACTGAGAAAAACTTGGACTCCAACTTTAGTTCCAAACTCCGATCAAACAATTTTTTTTAACCAAAAATGTTTTTGCGAGTCGCCTTTAATTGTGTGTTGATTGAAAATATTCAATAAAACACGCTCGAGACTTCAACTTGACGGCTGGGCCCCGCTTTCCAAAACTATCAAATGAAAAAAAAAGAAAAAAAATAGTTTGGACCTCAAGCTCCGAACCATTAGAAAATGACTCTAGTTCGGCCTTCGACTCTAGATTGTAAAAAAAATTGTGCCCCAATCCCAGCTATAAACCTTGAGAGCAAATTTTAAACACAAATATTCCGTTTCTGCGTTTTTTTGAAAATTTAAACCAAACTCCCATCCATTTAGAAAATGACTTTAACTTCAGTTCCAAATTCCAAGGAGAACAATTATCAGCATGCATTTGAAATTTCGTTTTGTATTTTGACTCTTTTATAACCAGTAGAAATCTGAAATTAAAACCGACTCGGTTTTAATTTTTCGACTTTATTCTCCGGAGTTACAACACGACTCCGACATCCACAAACCAAGCAAAACTCAGACCCTAGTCACAGACTTTTGAATCGCTCAGATAAAGTCAACGAAAATTTATTTCTTAATTTTTTAGCAATAATTCTTATAATCTTTGAACTTGGAGTTTTGAAATAAATATACGCCAAAAATTATAGAATCTCCCTAGCCGTATGGATTCAAACCATCGACCCTCAGATAAAAAAAAATAACATAAATTGGGCTCAGTATTTCTTTATGACGTCATATTCAAAATTCCACATGATAAAAAAGCAGCAATTTAACTATAATATAAAGGTAAATGCAGAAATGTTTTGGGTCTTGCTACATTCGTCTTTAAATATATTTATATCATATTTCTGTTTTCCTATGTTATACAAATTGCCCTGTAAGTCTGTAAACAGTAAAAATTCCTACGCGATTACCATTAAATCAATGTATATTGTTGTTACTTTTTAACAGCGTGTGCTGTTGTGAATAGACATGGCTCCGTGAGTCACGTAAAGGTGCTTCCTGCCTTTCAGTGTCAGCTCGATGTTTTCGACACAGAATGCATCAGATGTTGACAGATGGTATGATTTTTTTAAATATCATGTTAAATCCATAAGTTACAGCCTAACTAGGAAATAGACATATCAGATCGTACAAGGCATAATTATGTATGTTCTCAATGAGACCCGATCATATACATTACTCACGCGGACTTTTTCTGCGTAGTGTTTCCTCGCATTTCAGTCGCGGCCGATGGGTGGAATTCTAATTGTCAAGTTATACCGTGACAGGCAGCCAGTCCGTGTTTTGAAAACGTAAGTTCTGCATTTGAAAAGAGGGTGATGACCATCATCCCTCACGCCCCCCCCCCCCCCCCTCTCTGGCTACGCTCTGATATCATTGACTGCGTGTACAAAGCCTTCCTTAGAGTGAACGCGGCAAATGTGTCGTATAAAACAAAATATCTAACTTACATATAATCTTTCTGAATCTTCAAATTTCCTCTCGCAGCATCAAATGCATCGTCGTCTATGTCAGCATACGGGTTGTCTTCTAAAACAAAGAATAGTGCTGTGTTTTAGAGAAGTCTCTTTTCAGCGACCCAAATAAATAAAATAAAATGTTGTTTCGTTTCGCAACCCAAGCATATCATCAAATAGTAAATTGCATGTAGTGCTTTTATGGTCGCAAACTTAAACTACTGTCTCAAATGATCATTTTTAAATATAACATTATTTTCCCAAAAATCACTTCAGAGTGAGAAAGCTGTAGTGGTTTGCCCTCAATGAGTTTTTGAAATAGTGGCGTGACTTTAGGCAAAATTAAAGTTGCCAAGTTTTTACAAATTGATCTAATTGTGTCAAATTTAGTAAATATTCAATATTGAGTTGTTCAGTTGCTATATTTTCTGCTTCAATGCAGCTACAAGGTGTTGTTGACTGGATGACTTTTTGAGTCTTTCGCGACCCCTCGTCTACTGCAACAAGCCGATATCCGTTTTGTAATTTGTTATATGCTTTTTATTTATTTCATATCGTATATTGATCTTGCCTTGCATGACGAAGATAAATATCTGAATCTGAATCTGATACTGATACTCCCCGCATCTATTTTGCTAACTGAAGCCACGTCACTATTTCAAAACCTCGCTGATGGAAAACGAATGCAGCTTTCTTACTTTGAATTAATTTCTGGGGGAATAAATGTAAAAATGATTGTTTTATATTATTCATTTATTTTTGCGGCCATAAAAGTACTACATGTCATTTTTTATTTGAGTATATCCTTCGGTCGCGAGTTTTTACAAAATTTATTTTTCAGAAAATTTGGGTCGCTTGAAAAAAAGGGTTGGGAGCATTGTGATATATCTTATAGAAACATGAAATAAGCTCCTGATATATATCGTGACGTGAAATATAGAGGTGAAATTGCCATAATGACGTAATCAATGACGTTATACCTTCTATATTGTGCTTTATCGACGAATCGTTGTATTCATCTTCTTCGTTGTCCTGAAACATGTGATTGGAGTTTAAAATATGAATAAATTAAATTTTCCTGGCGGCTTATAAATTACACCTATTGGAACAATTATAAAAATTGGACATTATGTAATGAATCAATAAAAAAGTTTCTCGATATAAGTTACGCATTAGTCTGGCTAAAATTTCCCATAGAGAAGCGGTGTCCAAACTTTTGTTTGTGCGGCGCCAAATTATCATGGAAAAATTCGCCTCGCACTTACACGAAAACAAAATTGCCGCCGTTATAAATAAAACTGAATTTTGTAATTGTTATTGCGTACTTTATGCCTTTAAAAGTCTGTAAACATGTATGCTTATAAAATAAAAGCAAAAGGTCAACTCTTCTTTCTCATCTCCGCCTGATTTTCCCTTGAAATGACTAAAAAATCACTCATGTTTGCTATACTTGGTTCAGAAGATATATGAACTGCAGCTTGAGAAATTACAGCAAGTAGTGTATGTATCCATATTGTTATATAACAAGAGAGCAGATACTACGTAACAAAAATTGAACGACTTAGGAAAGTAAAATGAATTTATGGACACATATACACATCATTTAAAATAAGGAACAATAAAACATTTATAATAAGTCCAATATGTGAAATATTCCATTTTTTTGTTAAAAATGTTTAACGCAATTCTGTAAATTTCGAGGCGCGCTTTCCGCGGTCGGAATTCTCTGGTGGTGATATACGACGGAGTATAAGTCAATATGAATTAAATAAAAACCTGTATGCTTTGTAATTTCCGTCTTTCCTCAGCCGCTTTTATTTTGTCGCTTGATGGCGGTGGAGGTCTGCTGGGCGGAATAGCCTTCTCTGCTAAAAATAATAAGACAAGACATTGGTTGTGCTGAGGTTGCGAGATTTTTCTAAGGCTTTTATTGTTTCTCGATTGTGGTAAAATTATGCATACGTTGCTTATGAAGGGTCTAGAATAAGACTTGAGCATAATATGGCTTGTAATTCGGGAGTATGTAAGATGTTTTTTGATTGACAGTCGTAGAAATTATGTAATTAACTAATAGTGCTATATAATATACGCTTCTACAATCTGGCGGTTGGTTCAATAGGCTAACACTAAGATATAAGTGTGATTGTTCCACTGTGTATATTTCCCACGGTCGCAGGTTCGAATCACGTTTCAGACGCCTCTGTAGCAATGCACTGCTCAATTATTTTGTCAAGTTTCTGCGTGCACGCGAAATTTCTGGTTTAAACATCTTACTCTTTTACCTACTGAATTATTACCTGGATCCGTTGATTCACGGTAACTGTAACTGAAATCACATTTTTTGTGTTATTGCCGACTGATATATTTTCCTTATTAACAACCAATTTTGGTGCTTAATTGACTAGGTTGGATTTGATACAAAGGTGGACAAATTCCATTCCGCGGGCTGGATCCGGCCCACTTGCGTCTGCTGTAATTACGACTATAATTTTTATGAATATGATTTTCGTTGAAAATATTGATCAAGAAAACGTCATAATGACCCCGATTGTTACATTGCGCTTCTTAATATCATATAAACGTTAGCCTAGTTGTTGTAAATAAACTGTTTTTATTCATGGTTTTTCAAATTAAGTTTTTAGCCTCCGGCACATTAAACAGGTCTATTTTTTTTTTTATAACTGGCCCATTCAGAAAAATAACTGCCCACCCCTGGATTATATACACGGCCAAGGTTAACGGGGATAATAGCCGTACTGGGAATATTATTTACCCGGGCTAACGTGTTCCAATCTTGTGCGAGACGCCATGTTAACAAGGAACCGCTTCATCTTACTTCTCTAACCAAATTTAATTCTAAATTCGATACTCCCGTAGTGTGTGTACCACTACCAGGTTAGGGTTAGGGCATAATTTTATTCAGATTTCCCTTATTTCAGTTATATTACGAGTTCGTGAACTGTCTCTGTCAGCCGAGTAAAAATATACCTTCTGCCCATAGGTTTCAATCTCTTTACATAGCTAGATGTAAAGTAGGCACACAGAATTAGTTCTGGAGCGCCCTAAATTCACACTCATTTGAAGTTCGAGTTATTCCTTACTAGTAACAATAGTCTTATTTACCTTTGTGCTTTGTTTGTTAGAACGAGGTTGCTATATGTAACGACTGGTTGGAACACCTTACCCCTCTAACTGTATTTAATTTTTGAACTCCCTAATTCAATGCTTACCGGTAACAACGGGCTTATTTTCCTGCATGGTTGGTTTACCAGGCCGAGGTGGTGGAGGGCCCGCTGGGCGAGGTGGTGGCGCCGTTGTCGGTCGCTTTGCTGGTCTACGAGGTTGATTTTTGCTTGTTGGAGATTTAATTGAAATAGTCGTCTCTGATTTTGGAGAGTTAGATCTGCAATGATAAATGAATAAACGTCAATATAACGCTAAAATTGATTTCATTACCTAGCCTGACTGGTTTTCGTCTCTCGTGATAAAAACGACAACCTTATCTCATTCTAATTGTTGAAGTTCATATTTCGAAGCTTTTATACAAAGCCGTCACTAATTCTAAAAAAAAAAGATTCAAAAAACACTACAGCCACGTTTTAAAATAACAAATCAGTTTTTATTCAGTTAGAGTTAGGAATGATTTGAAACTTGAATTTTCAGCGCAATATGCATTCCTAACCCTAGCACTAACTGGATATTAACTAAATTTCCTTTTTTGAGCGTTCACGGAGGCTTTGTAAAAAAGAGCCCATCTTTTTCGCAGAAGGTAGGGGGAGGAGACGAAATAAAATCCTGAGTCGCAAGTCAACTCGAGTCACGAATCATCCAAATTTCGAGTCCGAAGTCGAATTATTCAGTGAATCATGCATTCATTTTATGACAAATTGAGATTCAAATAACTGTTAAAAATGTATATTCACTTGTTAGATGCACTGCTGCTCATTGGAGCCGATACAGGATTCCCTTGTGACGTCATTGATGACGTTACTGAAGCATGATCAATCGGAGAAGCAGCACTTTCAATAACTAGCTCTGTAGATGCATCAGTGTCAGTTTCGACCGATTTTATAACTTTCTGGGCGGGTTTTAGATGTTTTGGTGACAGCGGGCTACCCATGGATATAAGTTTACCCAGTTCAGCAATGGCGGGACTGCGAACCGGTATTTTGGGTGAATTTAAGCTTATTTCGGTATCTTCATAATTTTTAGGGAAAATTTTGTTATTTTTTGGAGTATCTGAGCCGTTTTGAAATTTCTTTGCTTTCGATGGGCGTGGCGGGGGCCGCACGGGATTTATTATATCGCGAGAAGGAATTGGCGGGCTTTCTGTATCCGGTATATCCGGTGTGTCGCTATTGTTGACTCCGGATATTTTAAATCCGACACTAAGTTTGCCACTATCCGAATCCAATTTGTTTTCCAGGACATTTCTCTCTTTGAAGTTTGGTTTGGCAGCCGCGGCTGGTTTTAGAGTCATTGGTTTTTTTCCGTTTACCGGTTTAACGGATGGTTTTGGTTTTCCCGGTTTCAGTGGCTTTATCGAAGATTGTGGCGGAAATAGCGGTGATAGTTTCACTGCCGTAGAAATCGGATTGTTTGGATTATTAAATTCTTCCGTCTGTGATGCCGCAGTAGAGTCGGTCATCCGGTTACCACTTGCGGTTATCCGATATCTATCGGGTTTTGATGTTTTCAAATGCGATGCGTCCATATATATGCTCCCACTAGTATCCGGAATGGTAGAAAAATCCGGTTTGGACTGGTTAGACTCATGAGGTGCTGGTACTGTGTTTACTGGGTCTTCAACTGTGTGATAGATCGCGTCGTTAAAATCGAGGTTTTCTTCTAACCGGGGCTGAAAAATAAAATAATATTTGATTTGTCATTAAGCGCAGAATCACGATAGCTGGGTTCGGGCAAGTAGAAAATGAAAATCTTCGACATTCCGGAGTTGTGTGTAACTTTGCTCAGTTTTTTTTATACTATTTGAGTGTGCTCATGATGCACCATTATGATTCCATATAATTTTAATAGCTCTTGTGATTCTAGTGATTATCCGTAACTTAGATCATAGATGATTTCTCATACTTCTTAGTGTGTGTGAATTGCTATGGATTGAGCAAAAACTCTTAAAAATCTTGTATAAAACATTTTATCTTGGTTTGATTGACCGGCTATACGGCTGACCGACTACATATACACTTAGTGCTGAATAACCCACCTATCTTGTCCTAAAATAAACTAAGCATATGAAATGAGTTAAGCATGCTCCACATGCTGTTGTACATCTTCTAAGTGTATTTTCTCAAACAAAAGTCACACGCACTCACTCAAATATAAAAAGTTAAGTTATAGACAAATGCTACCAGTGCCATTTTATTCATCACTTATTCGGGGTTTCACGTTTTCAACTCCATGTCCAGTGTTCGGTTATATGATCTACCAATTGCATATGCATCAAAGTGTTGATTGCTTCATATATGTCAGCCAGCAATGAACCATACATAAAGATAAAACTAACCGACGCCGCCGGCTTTTATGGTAGGTTATATTGTTAGTTAATCGAATGCATATACCATCATAAATCATACAAAAAAGGAGACTCACCGGCACAATTGGCTTTAAACTTGCTGGCGGTGCCATTGGTCTTACAGGGACTCTTGGAAGTAATGGCGGTGGATTCGTAGCAGTTTCTTCGGCGTCTTGAATATGGTCATATCTCTGGTTCGTGGGGCCATTGTTTCGTGAATGCTGTTTCAGTTCTGGTGCCGCGTATTCGTTTTCAAACAGTCCTAAAAATGTACAAAATATACACTAGCATTTTGATCGAATTGAATTCCTGACAAAATGGGGAAATGGTGGCGTTCCCTTACACAACGATTTTCATGAACTTTTAGTGTATTCTTTTGCAAATATTTCAACTGTAAAAGAACATTCACGGGAACTGTGTACGGAAGATATGTTATCTTAAATAAAGTAACTAAATGTTTTCATTGTGTATGCGTGTATCTTAAACATTCAAATATCTGCAATCCGCGCTGTCAGGTATTCGCTAGTTCGTTAGTATTTTCAAATTAAAAAATCGAACATACGATACTCCAAATGAAATTTATACTGAAATATGTGATAAAATTAAAGCTTACCTTCTTGACCTCCGATCACTGGTTGCGGTGGTTCATCAGGCGGCATTGACAGCGGTCTCGGAGGAGCTGGTGGCATCTGGGAATGCAAAAATAAAACGATAAAATGGCAATAAATTTCAGCAAAGATATGTTAGACATGTTGGTTTCAACTTTACTATATACCAGTCCTTGTATGGGAAATTATAGGAGCTTTGTAAATTTTACCAGAGAAAGAGATTTATTATTTCATCAACGAAAAAAATACAGTCATCAATAAAATACAATAGAAACAGCAATAAAATTGTTTTGGTATGAACAGTGATACAGGGAGTGTAATACGACCAACGATTATTTATTGCACGATTTCACGATGGCCTTATAGCCAGATCAAGGTTTCTCGTACGGGGCCCTCAGCTACCCCGGCGTTGTTGATGACGTCATCAAAAAAAAAAATTTGTGCGTGGTTCCGTGATCACATCTCAGTGATCTGGTGGTCAGATTACCGGTACTGTAAAAGCTTGGATACTACGGCGTTTCGACCTTCATGCGTGTATGTGTAGTATGAAAATATATGGCGCTTTTAACAATTTAAGTCTTTTTGCGCCAAACAAGTTAAACGAAACTTTTTATATGCCTATAGTACTCTCTTGGTAGTCTTCACAAAATCAACAAGAGCAGGGAAAATTCTACGGTTACTTAAAATAGCTCTGATTTGGAAATTAATGCCATAATTGCGGCATTGCAATCTTATGTATGTGTCTTTCATTTCTATGTGCACGACAGTTCATTAGAAAATGTTCTAACGTCTCCGAAATATTACAGCTATTGCAAAGTCCATGTCTACGAAGTCCTAAAATTGCAAAGGAAATTTATCGATAACATATATTGTTTTGGCCCTCACAGATGTATTAAATGAAGTAAAAATACTTGAAATCTGGTGAAGATATATTGAAAACTGACTTCATTCTTTATAATAAAATTGAAATTGTAAAGAGACTTCATGGACACCCTGTATATTGAGCATTGCTATTTTGTTATTGAACAGGTTGCCCCGTTATAAATAGCACAGCCACACAGTGGCATTGTTTCATACGCGCTATTCAACGTTTAGCGTAAGTAATGTATTAAAAGTGCATGGCTTGCGCGGAATTTCCTTCTGGAAACTGTAGTGTTTATACAGATTCACAAATGTGGTAAATTATGTTATGTTTACTTGTATGAAAGCTAGAGATCGCGAGTTCGAGTCTTGGATAGTTCATCTGTAAGCCGTAATTCGTTCTATTTTACGGTGTGACAAACTTTATCCTCGAGCAAGGCTCCAAACAAGCGGCGCGATAAATGTGGATTGTTGGACCTGATACTTAACACCAACTATAAACGGACACTGTTTTTTTTGGTGCTCTCGATGTATGTATACCAAGATGGCGCACAACCTGAACATAGTATGTGTACCAGGTTAAGGTTCACGTTGTGCGTCATCTTGGTACACATACTTCCGGCGCGCCCTTTTTTCAGCCTGAGCCCGGCTCATCACAATTATTGATACATGTTATTTGAAGTTCTGAAAATAATTTTAATATCTTTTTATTCCGCGTTTTTGCATCTCAACTCCAAAAAAGACTCCAGGGTGCCAGTATATTTGGAAAGACTTCCCGATTCATAACGAGCTTTGACTATAACAGTGCTTCTCAACAAGTGGGTCGCTAAGCTATTCAGGGGTCGTGAATGATTTCCTAATGTTACACAGTTTTGAATTAGATCAGAGTGGTCCAAACCCAGACCCGCGGGCCACATGTGGCCCGCCGCTTTATGAGCTGTGGCCCGCATCACATTCGGAGAGTAATCAAAAATTCGCATTTCGTGTTGTTTCGTAATAAAATTAATCAGAAAAATCTTTTGACATATTGTTACATCACTAATGTCACTAGATTGACTAGTGATATGGCTAGCTGAGGCAACTAGCGAAGTTGAATGATGTGCTTGGCAGTCTAAATTATTATCTGGCTTTCCATCTCTTTGATCGGGAATATATGCTAACAATATAGGCATCATAGAAAACTAAAAATCGAATGCGGATTCTATTAGCCTGGGATGGCTATGTCTGATAACTATGTGTTTGCACAAAAAAAAGTGTTTGTTTGTATTGCACTGTTCACCTATTCTTGGCACTATTGTGGCCCGCGAACAATGCAAAAATAATTTTGTGGCCCGCGAAGCCGACAACCTTGGGCCACCTTGAATTAGATCGTGAAATTGTGACATTATCATTCTGTAACAATTATGAAACTATGTAACAATTAGAATTATGCGTCGTTATTAGACTTAATTTAATAATATCCTATATGCAAGATCAAGTTTCGCATTAATAGTATATTGTATGTTTCTACTATATTTCTACTTCTACTTCTATATTACAAATAGGCCGATATTTCCGATGTTCCGAATCTACACTGTTTCTCTTCTCATGTATTACCATTTTACTTTGGGTCGCAAAGAAAAAATGGCAAAAAGAGAGTCGCGTACTGAGGTTAAGATGGCTCCAAACAAGCGGCGCGATAAATGTGGATTATTGGACACGTTTAGTGGACATAACGATCGTTTTGTTGTTATGTTGTTCTTGTTGTTGTTCTTGTTGTTCTTTGACACTTTTTGGACACCTAGTGGAAATATTAAAAAACCGCTTTTCTCTTTGATTACTGGACCAATTGCTTTGAAATGTTTAGTGGTTAAAGATGAAATTTTTCTTCTGAAGGCTATTACTTTTATTTATTTCAAATATTTCTGATAGCTCTGTGAGATTTGTTTTGTTGTTTGCTATGACGTCACTGAACGTTCTGCGGACATCGGACGCCATTTTGTGTCCGACTATACTGCTTCGCTTGGTGTGAATATATTTGTGGACTGTGATCTGACGGTACGGTAAACCGTCCTGTACTGCGAACAGACGTGTCCATATATTTGGGCGTAGCTCTCTTGTTGGACCTGATACTTAACACTAACTATAAACGGGCACTATTTTTGGCCAGATCCTGGCCAATCCCGATTAACTGAAATTAGTTGAGAAGCACTGGGCTATACAACATGTAAGAGGAAATTCTTCTCAGAAGCACTAAAACTTTTTCCTCTCGGCCTTGCCCACCAAATTCTTTTCACTGGACGGGGTGGCGGGCATGAAAGTTGAAACCACGATTTCTGACTTGATATGACAATAAAGTTATTTCCAACGCTCTCCAGAGGTAGGCTAATTAGTCTGGCGGGCCATGTGAGTGTGACGTAAAAAGTTACATTTTATGAACAATATTTACACTGTAACAAAAGCAAAAATGAAAAACAATGGGCCACGTGCCAAAACTAAATTTAATCCCAATCTCAACAAATTCCTTAGCTCAACAACAAAATTTGGTTTTAGTTTGATTTAGGCAGCATCAGGCGGGCCAGATTGACCTACTCAACGAGCCGTATTTGGCCCGCGAGCAATTCGATAGTTTATCAAAGTACCAACTTGGCTAATTTTGTAACTGTTCAAAGAAGCAATAACGGCATTATTAAAATTTGACACCGGTAGCGTCGTAGAAGCAAAATACACTGGGACATCGGATTTCCAAAAATCATAAAACAGTATCCAATATCTTTACGTCAAACGTAGTCTTAATAATGCAGTGTGACTAATACATAGAAAGTGCTTACATTGCATAAATTCGATATAGATACAATCGAGGCTGATTGTATAGATACAATCGAGGCTGTTGCAATTCATGATCCCGGGATCAAATCCATCTAATAAATTGGACAGGCAATGCCAATCGATGACTGCGTGTATTGTATCTCCCCCCCTCACATCCTTTATAAAAATTCATAGCTACCTCCATGCCTGGAGTCTCTGAGTATAGGTATATACAGTATAACGTTAAATCGATTTTAAATTTTTGGTACTACATAAGGAGAGTATTGTCCATATGGATTGATGGCCTCTTTTGAATTTCTAAATTGGCTATAGCTACAGTAGAGACTTTAATTGCGTGGGAATTACCCGTTTTGATATATTGAGAGTCACAGTGCATATGCATTGACAGTTGCAAGAGTATTAAATTGACAATCTCGCGTTCAACCCCCATCCGGGGTGTTGGGTAGGTAATGCTTTTGTACAAAGCTTCCGCGACTAATTCAAAAATGGGTACTCTCGATGTATGTGAACCAAGATGGCGGACACCGGAATGTAGTATGTGTACCAGATTAGGGTTAGGCCAAAATTTTATTCCAATTTTCCTGATTTTAGTTTTAATACAAGATCGTGGACTAGCCAAGTAACTTTCGTAGTATTTGTACCTGAAATTATTGCCTAACCTAAACTTGTCACACATACTACGTTCAGGTGTCCGCCATCTCGGTTCACATACTTCGGTATGCAAGGTTTGTAAAAAAACATCCGTCACGTTTCATTAAAATAAAAACGAGTAATTATCCGGTTTGGGTTAGGATTGGAAAATATCCAAAAATATCAAAATTTCAGCGCAAGCTGCATGTCCGATCTATGACTGCTTGTATTGCATTTGTTCAGAGCAAAAACATAGAGGTCGCAAAAATAAAAAAATGTTAAGAACCACTTACAATTCAGGCCTGCCCAACCTTTTTCGTCTCGCGGGCCACTTTCAAGTGACGAAATTTGTTGCGCCGCTAACGTTTGTACCAAACATTAATCCAGCTAAGTCCTGATTTCGATGTAGGTAATTTACATAATAAATGAAAGGCAAGTTTATTAACATCAAATCAATCGATTTTATTACTGTTTTCTCGTTACTGAGTAGGGCTGGCAGATTATTCGAATAGTAGTTTACAATTCGAATATCTGGTAACACGGGGTGTGAACAATGTTTAAATGAGCATAATGTGCACCATTGTTGTGGGAAAATCAAGTTTAAGTTGGCCGTTTCGTAAAATTTGAAACACCAATACAAATATTTAATGAAGTAACAATACAACGATTTTTGGGCGAATAGCCTATATATACTGAACGTGACCAATATGCAGTGATGACGTTAGGTCAATTTTATCAGAATTATTGACGGATACGCAGTGATGAAATCTTATTTAACCTAAACATTTGATAAAAAAAATACAAACATAAAAAGACAACGAGTCCCAGGCCCAGTACCAAATATATTGTTGACATTTTATTTTACGCTGGCGATAAAGACGATCAAACCACACACGTAAGAAAACAATCAGAATAAAAATAATTCGCAAATTTAGGCTCCAAATTCATTCCTATAATTGCGCTCAGCGTTCGCACAATATTTTTTGAGTTCGTCGAACAGAACGCTCAGTTCTGCGAGAAATAAATAAAACTAACGTCGATTTCCACCAGGGCGCAAGACGTGACACATACGTAATGATAAGAACCGGCATTTGAATGTAGATAGATGGCGGGAATAATCACACCAAAATCAGAAACGTACTTAACCCTATATATTGATATATAACATGGTAAAACCATGAAAAGTCTGCTTACAAACTTTATAGGGCGGGCCGCAACAGTTAGCAAACCGAAGAAATACATTGCTACACAAGGTCCTCTACCAAGTACGATGGATGATTTTTAGAGAATGATTGCAGAACGGAAAGTTACTTGTATTGTTATGCTGACAAAATGCATAGAAAATGGAAAAGTATGTAAGTAAGCAACAGTTCTGCGGGCCGCGGGTTGGGCAGCCTTGACCTACATAGAAAACTCCCCTTACCTGGGACGGCATTGAAGGTGGTCTTCCATTTGGCCAATCCTGTCTATCCTGTTGGTATTGCTGCTTCTTCTGCCGTAGTTTAATAACCTGACCCTTGAGTGATGTCATACCATTCGATGACGTCATATGTGATTCTGATTCAGCAAGTTTACGTTCAGCTTTTCTTCTTATTGATTTGTGCTTCGGTGGAGGAATGGGAGGAGTTGAAGATAGCGACTGCAAATATAAAGATGAAACGTGAAGAACAAGTCATGTGAATATGTCGCTAGGCCTGGGTTTTTCAAGATGGGAACTCCCCCTCCCTACCGGAGAGGTCACAGTGCGGTTCTGAAACACAAAACGATTCTCTGGAAGCTATGAGCACATTAATTTATAGATATTCGGCTTGATCAATTTGACTTTAATGCATTTTAATAACGTATTCAGCACCAAATTGCAAATTATTTTTGAATATTGACGTAATACCCGATCCTTTTGCTCCGAACAAAGGGAATACTGAAAAAGTATTGAAAGCAAGCCAGGAAACTAACGGTTTCCAGTAAATCTTTCAAGAATATGGCAAAATGGTACCGGAAAAGGCGTATGAATTTATGTCTTATTGCAAATACCGCAAAATTCCATTTAAAAAAATATATCAAAAAGCCTCCCTGACCATATTCCCTCCCTCTTGACCATACCCCTTTCTTCTTTGGCTACACCTATGATGCATTTACTCTGTTACGATGGTTTATTGCCTTTTATTTTTCAAAGCAACGAAAACCGCCATGAGTATAAATAGTTTCAGTAGCGCTCGGCATTTCAATGTTGTCCGTAAATATTCTGAGATAAGTCTTCTTTATTTCTGAATGAGTGTCACGTGACTTTTCTCAGTAATACTGATGAGTCACTTCTGAGTAAGAGTAGGAAAGACAGTATCTCACCTGGTTATACCCGCCAATATTATCCGAAAACCTGCGATTATTTCCGAACGATTCTGTCAATTCCATGTTAAGACTTGCTAATGACTGAGAGCGATGTTGTGAAGTCAGTGGTTTGTTCTCAATGACGTCATCGCTAAAACGTATGACGTCATCATTATCATCTTCGTGAATTACTTCGATTGTTATAATGTCACCTGAATTATAAAAACAAAAAAAGGAGTTTACGCACAAGTGGAAGATGCTGTTACATGAGTACTTCTTATGGGGCTTTTATTTATATTGTTTAGGGCCAGGCATTTTCGAATACCTCATGATTTCAGAATCGATAATTTTGGAATCGAATCGAATCTCGAATACTTAAAAGATATGTATTTGTATTGACTGTTTTACCGTAATAGATCCTTCAAACACATAAACGAGAATATCGGTCAGAGACCGAAGACTTATCGATCGAAAGTTAGGGGATCCCCCAAAACAGCGCACTTACTCCATAGTGACACTTTGTGTCACATCACTAATTAAATAATAACTCGCTAATTATACGACATGATTCGCCCAAAATCAATAGGCTTCTGGTCCGAGATGATGATGAATGCACATGCAAAATCTGGAGCAGATTCAATCTCGCTTTCGTGAGATATCGCGTGCATCTAACAGACAAACAGACAGACAAACAGACAGACAAACAGACAAATACCTATCAACATACTTACCGATTAAAATCGATAAGTAATTAGTGATAACACGAGATTCGTTACTCAGACAGTTCGCTGAGTGTTGACACACAATGAGAAAACTATTTCATCAATAACTCACTCGGAAGAAAAAAATCATACGTCAGAAATTCATTTTTAAAATTTGATATGAATCAAAATATGAAGGATTCATCTCGACCTGCGCGCAGAAAAAAAAACGAGATGGAGGCGATTCGAAATTTTTGTCTGATCCGATTCGAATTATTTACTATTCGATTTGAAGTGCTCAGTCCTACCACTGATACGTTACTTTGGAAAAACTGCAGTTTTTCCTGTTGGGTATTGCCTAATCTTGGACGTATGGGCGAATCTTTCACGAATTGTTTTGATCAGATTTCTCTAAGGATTATTCCCCGTGGATTTTGAACAATCAAACTATTGTGAAACATAATCCGGGTTCACTTACGTGAGTTTCAAGTAATACTTACCGTTTTTATAAAAGCGTATCGCCTGATATAGGGCAAGATGAAAGGAATGGAAATTTATTAGAGCTGAGCATTTCAAATCGAATATTTTAATCGGTTCAAACTAAAATTTTGAATCGCCGCCATCTTGTTTTTTTATTCTGTCCGCCACAGGCCGAGGCGAATTCTACAACTTTCTTTATTGAAGACATATTCTCAAAAAGCAATCCCGACTCGTTTTTCCTATTTAGTAATCGCTAAAACTTGTTTCTGATTGTGTTTGAACGCTCAGCAAACTGACTCAGTAATAAATTCTATGTTTTCAGTAATTCATGTGTCTGGAGAACCCGTTACAATAAAGACACATTTAATTACAAGTATTCGATATTCGACTCGATTGTAAAAATATTCGGCTCGATTCTGAAGTCATTAGATATTCGAAAATACCCAGACTCACTTGTAACACTAAGATAGTCAGATTCTACTTTCAAACCAACAATGTAATATTCATGATTTCCTATTGCACAGGTGCAAACGATATAAATAATGAATGGCGGCCTGGTGATTTTAGCTTCGGACTTGGCTTTGCAGTTTATAGGTTTAGATTTCAACCCTCCATACGCATTATCTCGCTAAGTCTACTAGATTTTAAATTTGGTTGGCAATGCCTTACCAAGAAGATTTCAGTATTTTTAAAACTAAAGCTCCTATATAGACTAGTAGCTTTCTGTGAAATTTGGGTACTCCTTAAGTATGCGCACCAAGATGTCGCACAACCTGAACCCTAATCTGGTACACAACCTGAGTTCAGGTTGTGCACCATCTTGGTGCGCATACTTCGGGAGGTCCGAAATTTCTTTATGATAGTTCAGGAAAGGTCTTTCAAAATTAAATACTGTATCTATAGAGTTATAGACAATGCTAATCGGAAATATTTCAGCTTTCCTGAAATCGTAGTTCTTTTATGTATATATCAGTAGTTTGCTGAAGAATCAATCCAATAAAATTTGAATAATGTACAAATTGAATATTTAGATAATTATCTACTACCTAGACGACTAATAGCGATGCCTTTATATTATCACACTTTTGCTTTCTATTTAAATTCTGCTGTTACGAACTACCTTGACTATGTGATAACAGTTCAAGTTAAAGATTCCCAACATTCTTAAACTTCAACTGTGTTTCCAATATTTGTTCTAGTGTTATAACAGCAACCCACACACAAGCTTTCTGCACAGTTCCAATAGTTCATAATGTGTGCATAAAAACAGGATATCCATAAAATCCCTTTACAATTTCAATTCTGTTATGAAGTCAGTTCTCAATATATCTTAAAACCAAGTTTGTTGTTTTATAATCAGTAATCATTTAAGTATTTTTACTTCATGTAAATGCATCTATGAAGACCAAAACAATATATGGTATCAATAAATTCCCTCTGCAATTTCAATTAATTTTATTAGACTTTATGGACACCCTATATTTATGGCAATAATACTGAATACCTAAACAATTATCAGTAGAGGTTACTCGACACTAACTACCAATTCTTCCTCAATGCCTTTGCGCTAGTGGATGCGTATGCTTATATTGCAAGGATGCTGTAGCAAGAGTAAAAGATAACTATCTTAAGTGATTCAAGAGTTTTGCTGAACGATAACACAAATGTATTTCTGTAACGTTTCGTCTGACCAAGGTTAGACTCTTCAGACATACATAATTCAACCAGGGTAGTTGAACTATGTATGTCTGAAGAAGTCTAACCTTGGTCAGACGTAACGTTACAAAAATACATTTGTGTTAGTGTGCAGCAAGACTCTTGAATCCCTTAGGATAAGTAAACAATATTGGTAAAACTACACCAAATTCTCCTCGCCGAAAACGCCAAAATTTCTGAAGCCATACTTAAATGTAATAGTTCCAGACATTCATATTGCGTTTGTACTGCTGCCAAAATAATCTCAGCGTACGCAATAAAACGGTTATTCTTTCATCATAAAGAATGTATTATATTCTCGACCAATCAGGAAGTAATTAAGACGCGGGAACCCACGGAGCTTTGTATGACGTCATAATACAAACAATATCTGTACGCATTGTATATGATTATTAAATCAAACGTTTTCGGTCTGGTTACGTTATGTCGAGGTCTTGCCAAATTGAAGCAATAAAAATTAAAATGAAGAGGTTGCAGCCAGGCCTATTCACAGTAAAACATGCGCTATTGCTAAATTGCTAACGATGTAATTTTCAATATTTCGAATGGTTATACCCGCGGTTTTTGGATCATAGGCCAAAATTTTTTTTCCACTAAGATTGGCGGATAATGCTACTCACTCATGTAAGTGTGACGTAAAAAATTTCATTTTCTAACAATTACAATGTTACAGAAGCAAAAGTGGAAAACAATAAACCCCGTACCAAAACTAAATCGCAATCTCAACAAATTCTTTATGGCTGATTTTCAGCTAAAACATCAAAATTTAGTTTTGGTTTATTTGTGGCAGCAATGGTGGGCGAAATTGAAGTCTCCATTAGGCGAGATTTGGCCCGCGAACCGTGGTTTTCCCATGTCAGGTCTTTACTCAACCAGGGTTCCGTGGCAACGCAAGGTTCCGTCATTACTGTCCAGGGGTCCCGCAAGTTACAATTCAAATCCGAAAGTCTGTATTAAAATATGTATATTGTTTTATTATAATCAAATACTCATTAGGTTTGCACTGTTATTACACTTTTTATCATTTAAAGATAATTTCGTTTTATCAGTATTCGGTTTGGTTTTATATATACATTTACAGTTTATACAATCTGGACAATTAAACTATTTCACAGAGGTTACTCGAGCCTTTGGAATATTTCACAAGGGTTCGCCACAACAAAAAGGTTGAAAACCTTTCGTCAGGGCTATTCCATATCGAGTGCTTGCTACTATTTATTCATAGTAACACATGCGCAATTTCTAAGATGCAGATGGTAAATTTTAGCCAACGTATCCCATTGTCCTGACAAAAATTGTCTGTAAATAGATTCCGAACGTTGTTTAAACGACAGAGTGTTAAAAATAACGCAAAATTAACAGAAGTTACGATGAAACGCTACTTAAAACATTTAACGACTGGCACATTTTAACAGTATTTAATTACGATGATATATCATTTAAACATTTCACGACTGACGCTTTTTAACAGTTATTTTTTTAAGGTTGCCATGACGAAAAACTTTATCTTCATTTTTCGTAACTTTCCTAACACCCTGACTGTTATCTTCTTACCAGTTGTCTATGTATTACCACGACTGGGAGAGACCCCTCACCCGCTAGCTAAAGTATATTGCTTGCTTTTTACTGGTTGTATCACATAGAAAAGTCATCTTCATTCTCACTGCTTCCTTGCATTATATTTACGTATAGATGAATCCACCAACGAAAGGAAATTAAATTCTTGATAGTCATAGCGGCGATTCCGTAAATGGTTCGTTTCCCGCTTTCCTCCCTATTATTTTTCAGTCTATACCATTTAGCTGTCACGGTACTGTTCATTTATTGCTCCGCCTTTTGTTTTTTTTGGTTTTGTTCACCTCAGTTCAGGATCGCTCATATTCAAGTTACACTCACAATAATAAACAAAGGATTGCGTTGTATCATATTTCTCAACCGCATCGTCCTAACAGGTGTCTAACGTATTGTTTTGATCAGATGTCACTCAGGGATATTCCCCGGGGATTTTGAACAATCGAACTAATGTGGAACATAATCCGGGTTCACTTACGGAAGATTTCAAGTAATATTTACCGTTTTGACAAAAGCGTTTCGCCTGCAGAGGAAGGTTAAAATGGAAATTAACACAATTCTCAGCAAAGGCGCTATCGCGATATTTTGGGGCGATTTTTTTTTTAGTTTTCGAGTTTCTGCATATCATTCTGCGTGTCATTGTGAAATATACGACAACAAATACCTACGTCTATATCTCTATATCAGACCCATATCTTTTCTAGAGGAAAAATTTTCTTCACTTCTGAGAGAGTACGGAGTTCAACCAAATTCTCTGGCAAATAATAATTTTTAAAGGTATCCAGATTTCTTTATCAAATATCCACTGGGAACTGAATAAGAGGATTTTTTTTCATTTCCATCTCATCCATTGTGACGGAGCAATGATTCGTTCACTTTATTTCGTTGTTATATTTTATATACACCGTGTTTCAATAACCACCCAAAGTCAAATAGTTGCCGTTTATTGTTTCCGATACCAAGCCTGTATTCTTCGCCAACTTAACCATCTCAGGGATCGATGCATATACTGTCATATTCTCGTCTTGTCATATGAATAAAGTATGACGTCATTGGACAAGTAGTAAACACAGAAACGGGTTCATTTACGGTGAATTTCGAGTATTATTTACAATTTTTACGAAAGCTTGTCGACTGCTAGGGAGCACGGTCATAGGAATGAAAAAATTTACACAATTCCTAACAAAATGTTGTTGTGTAATAATTTACCAATATTACCTGCTGGGTGTCAGGAATCAAGGTTGGGGCGATAAAACGCGCATACATTTTCTATCGAAATAGCTATGGTGATTTTAGTGGCGTATATCTTGAATCTTGAAATCAGAATTTGATGGGGCGTAATATGTTTTGGAAAATACAAATAGTTCCATATATAGCAATTTCCATTTTAGTCGAATAAATTTGCGTTGGGATGCGTTCAGAGACGAGTATCCTTTACTTCTGAATGAGTGCCTGTAACTTTGCTCAGAGATGAGTATCCTTTACTTCTGGATGAGTGCCCGTAACTTTGCTCTGAGATGAGTATCCTTTACTTCTGAATGAGTGCCTGTAACTTTGCTCAGAGATGAGTCTCCTTTACTTTTGAATGAGTGCCCATAACTTTGTTAAAGATGAGTATCCTTTACTTCTGAGTGAGTGCCCGTAACTTTGCTTAGAGATGAGTATTCTTTACTTTTGAATGAGTGCCCATAACTTTGTTAAAGATGAGTATCCTTTACTTCTGAGTGAGTGCCCGTAACTTTGCTCAGAGATGAGTATCCTTTACTTCTGGATGAGTGCCCGTAACTTTGCTCTGAGATGAGTATCCTTTACTTCTGAATGAGTGCCTGTAACTTTGCTCAGAGATGAGTCTCCTTTACTTTTGAATGAGTGCCCATAACTTTGTTAAAGATGAGTATCCTTTACTTCTGAATAAGTGCCCATAACTTTGTTAAAGATGAGTATCCTTTACTTCTGAGTGAGTGCCCGTAACTTTGCTTAGAGATGAGTATTCTTTACTTTTGAATGAGTGCCCATAACTTTGTTAAAGATGAGTATCCTTTACTTCTGAGTGAGTGCCCGTAACTTTGCTCAGAGATGAGTATCATTTACTTCTGAGTGAGTGCCTGTAACTTTGCTCAGAGACGAGTATCCTTTACTTTTGAATGAGTGCCCGTAACTTTGCTCAGAGATGAGTATCCTTTACTTCTGAATGAGTGCCCGTAACTTTGCTCAGAGATGAGTATCATTTACTTCTGAATGAGTGCCCATAACTTTGTTAAAGATGAGTATCCTTTACTTTTGAATGAGTGCCTGTAACTTTGCTTAGAGATGAGTATTCTTTACTTTTGAATGAGTGCCTGTAACTTTGCTTAGAGATGAGTATCCTTTACTTTTGAATGAGTGCCTGTAACTTTGCTTAGAGATGAGTATTCTTTACTTTTGAATGAGTGCCCATAACTTTGCTTAAAGATGAGTATCCTTTACTTTTGAATAAGTGCCCGTAACTTTGCTATGAGATGAGTATCCTTTACTTTTGAATGAGTGCCCGTAACTTTGCTCAGAGATGAGTATCCTTCACTTCTGAAGGAGTGCCCGTAACTATGCTCAGAGATGAGTATCATTTACTTCTGAATGAGTGCCAGTAACTATGCTCAGAGATGAGTATCATTTACTTCTGAATGAGTGCCCGTAACTATGCTCAGAGATGAGTCTCCTTTACTTCTGAATGAGTACGGGTCCTGCACCACATAACGCTGTATAGTTTCAGTTTCAAACAGCATTTCTGTGACTTTACTCAACTATAATTCTCCATCGGCATTCGATGGCGCGTGATATGTTATCGTAATCCTATTAAATTTTCGTACTCTGACATTTCAGGTGTTTTCAGTAACCTATTTTACTTTCCAACTTTTTTCCAACAAATATAGCTCCTGCAACTTGCTGTAACAGCTCAACTGATAAACCTCTATTCTTCGCGCAGATAACCAGCTTATGGATCAATACATAGCATAAGCGCATGCCGTCACATGAGTTCGTAAACACGGGAAGTGGTTCATTTACAGTGAGTTTCAAGTAATATTTACAAATTTTGAGACAACGTGTCGACTTCTAGAGAGCAAGATTATAGGAATGAAATATTGACATAGTTTTAAGCAAAGTTTTGGTTTCTGCGAGATTTTGTGGCGAGCTTTCCGAATCTCGGTTGATCCAGCAATGATGACGTGTATGACCACCATGTTCCCGTGGCTTAAAGGCAGGAGTAGGCAAGTTACGGTTCCATTACATTTGAACCCACGTACATTTGAACCCACCACAATTGCACCTATATGCTATTGCACCTATGAAATTTTTTTTGTTTCTCGGATAGTTAAACCCATACTAACCCTAACCCATGGGTTTTAGCACCAGCATATAGATTGAACCCGTGGATATACGCATGGGTTCAAATGTACATGGGTTCAAATGTACGGTCACCGCAAGTTACTGATAATAGACTTGGTTATTGGGCCGGAGTGTCAAAAAAAACTCAATATGAGAAACTATTAATAATGAAGGTTCATTTACAAAAGCTATGCTAACGTTTGTATAATAATAAGAAACACAATGTAATATTGGGGTCATCATGAGGTTTTTTTCGTTGATATTTTCGAAAATTTATATTCATTAGACCTAAAGTCGTGATTTCAGCAGACACAAGTTGGTCGGATGAAGCACTTCGGTGGACGGATCCGGCCCACGCCCGTTTAGCGATTTCCGATATTTTGGCTCAAAGGCTCGTTTTCATTACTCCTAGCACGCATTACCTAGCTTAATCGAAATTTTACTTGCAGTTGTCCAGTTTTTCACAACAATTAGGGCATCTGCAATCTGCTGTCTATGCTTTTATTATTTCCTAACTTATAAATCTCTGTTCTACGCGCAGAAGACCAGCATGGTGATCAATACATAGCATAGCACATGTCGTCATTGGACTATTCAGTAAAAACTGAACGGGTCAATTTACAGTGAATTTCAAGTAGTATTTACGCCTTTCAAGATAGCTTATTGAATGTAGGAGAGTAAGGTTTTGAAAATGAAATGCACATATTTCCTAATGACTGCATAGGGTGTCCATAAAGTCTTACATTTTTTCAAATTGCAAAGGGAATTTATCAATACCCTATATTATTTTGGCTCTCACAATATATGTATTAAATGAAGTAAAAACACTTGAACAAATATTGATTAAAACACAACAAATCTGGTTAAGATATATTGGGAATTGACTTCACAACAAAATTGAAATTGTAAAGAGACCTTATAGACACCCTTTCGTGTTTCTGCTTGGTAGCTCAACATGAATGAACATGATTGGGGCAATTTTTTTCGTATTATGACGTAATACAAAAAATACTCGTGCCTTAGTTCCGTACAGATCTAGATAAAAGCAGCTGATAACTAACAATATCTCAAAGATTTTTTTGAGGAGGCCATGGCCAACCCATGACCCCCATGGCTACGCCTATCTTCCAACTGTCTATATTTCTTGTTTTCAAGTCCTAAGCTGTCGCCCATACTTTCCCACAAGTAAGCACGCAAGCATTTGTAAAGAAGAGTTTGGGATCAATGCACAGCGATATTGACATATGTATGTCAGTATGTCGTCATCGAACAACTCCGTAAACATGGGAATCGATGTTTAGTCAATATCGGGACACGGCATTGCTTTATAAGTACTGCAATGTTTACATGAGCATATGTAACATCTAACCATTTCCGGAATTTCTAAAAACACATACCTGGGCCGCTATTAGCTATAGATTACTAAATCAGTGTTCTGATTTGTGTTACTCTGTAAGTTTAAGGCAGGGGTCGGCAAACTGCGGCCCGCGGGTCAGATCCGACCCGTGACGCTTCACTGAATTATAAACAAAACAACTTTATTGACGATTATATTCTTTACGTAGCAGAACTTGTTTTGGGACCTAAATTATATTATAACCTAACAATTATATAACTCACAATCACTCGTTTATTGAGTCTATAAATTGATTATTATTAGACAAATGGCAACAGAACGTGAAAAAGTTGGTGCTAATGGTTTAATGACGCAGAAAATATTCAAATGATCAGTCTTCGCGCACTGCTTGAAATCTGTGTGAAAAAATGTGATTCATTGGCCACTCCCTCGGTTTTTACCTTTCTAAAAATATGTGCCCGCCAGCCAGCGACTTGCAACCTTCAATCTTGGCCCGCGAACGACAGAAGTTTGCCGACCCCTGGTTTAAGGTCTTTAATTCCTGCCAGAGTGTAGCAAATTAGGTAGTTACCTGGAATTTTGTGTCTAATTAAAAATGGCAGATCTTCACATATCAATAGATGCTTCAAAGCCTCATTTGAATTGAAGATGCCTAAAACACGTAATATAAAACAAAATATAACGACGCGACAATGCAGTAGGACATACCAAGTTCTTGATCTTCATCCTCTTCATTTTCTATTGTTGGATCATAGTATACTCCTTCTTCGTGGTCTTCTGTCGATTTCTAAACAACAGTTATTCATTTTTTTTTTCTGTTAGAGTGGAATTTCTTTTGCGAAGTAATTCTCGAGCAAAGCCCTTAACCACCCTAACATTCGCAATCACTATATTAATATAAACGTGGTGCATAAAATAAGTGACAAAACACGTTAAAAAGTAAGTTTTTTTTTAGACGAGCATTTACGTCTGGTCCTCACCTATCATGAAGCATTAAACCAAACAAAATAAAAGCAAGAAGAAAATACAATTTCGTCAAAATTCTCACTTTTATATCCGGGAACATTGAAGCAGGTCTTTTAGTGATCGTCTGTAGCACTTCTTGTTTTACTTGCGATTTTCTTGGTGACGTCATCATGGCTGCCGAGTGCGTCATATGTCTTTGTGACGTAGGAGAAAGGTGCTTTGATGACGAAATATTCCTTGATGACGTCATAAGCTTGCTAGGTGATTTCGTAACTCCGGAACTTGTAATTTTGTTTTTTACCGCTTTAGTTAGTTTTCCGAACTTTTTGAATTTTTTTCCTTTCTCTTTTCTGGGGTCATGACCCGGCGAACGATCGTCTGATGATGAACTTATCGATCGTGGTGAGTCCGTCGTTATCTTTGGGCTGAAATTGAGGTAAATTGAGAATTTGTGATATTTTATGAAGAATAAATCAAGTCATTTACTGTATATTGTAGTGCATTGAGAAGCACGGCTGTGGATTTGGATTCCGGCATGTAATGTCAGACTTTCAATGGTGATATCTTGTCGAAATTTTTCACAGAAGCTTAACCAATGTTATTACAAACATATTTCTGTGATGTTTCGTCTGACCGAGGTCGAGAAATAGGTGAAAATGCAGTATTTCCGTAGTGTGTGTACCGGGTTAGGTCATAATTTTATTCCGATTTTCCTTATTTTAGTTCTATTACGAGTTTGGGGACTGTCTGTGTTAGCCAAGTGAATATACTCTTGCCCATAGGTTTCATTCCCTTTACACAACTTGATGTAAAATAAGCGAAAAAAATTAGTTACCTCTAGAATTGTACACACACTTCTGGAGCGCCAAAAAGACAACTGAGAGGCATGCATATTCCAATTCGAATAAAAACGAAACCTCGGTCGAATGAATCGTTACAGAAATGTATTACTGTTAGTGTGCAGCAAGCTACTTGAATTACAGCATCCTTGCATTATACACATACGGGCCCATCAGCACAAACGCATAGAAGAAGTTTCTCCCGACCCTTGACCTCTGAAATATTCTTCCGTCCTTTATCATTGCAAAACTTCCAACGCTGATTTCGAGAGTGTTTTTGTTTTTGTATAATTGGCGCTTACAAATTGTCCCCAACTATAATTTTTATTCAAAAAAATAAACCACGTTCCGTTTATAGGTACCGATGGCTAATTTTAGGCTAGTCTATCGCAGCGCTCGCGGTATCAATTTTTGGTTTTTGAAACTTAAGTAGAGGTCCCCGGAAGACACAATGACAATTAAGTTATTTGATTTCAATTTAAATTCCAATTGTCGCGTCATTGCTAACTTATTGCTGATTCGTAATTGTTACGGAAAATGAACAAGGAAATCGATGCTCGGGGAGATATCCATATTGCACAGCCTCAAAGCAAAACACATTAAAAGTTAACCTTTGAAGCGTGTCCGTTTCTAGAGTGAGTTTCCCCGTATATTCCTTGTCACCTTTTACGATGATTAGCGTTCTCTCATTGGGTAATAAGTTATCTTTTGTGTCGTCATACAACGTTTCAAATGCCATGTAATTTCCTTCCTCAAACGTCACAGATACGTCAGAGTAGTTTCTAGGGCGACCAGAATCGTAGGAAAACTCAGAAACGTCGGAATAATTCTCTGAAATTCTCGATTCGCTTGAATGGGTAGATTTAAATGAAGATTCCCGCGAAAATCCGTAATCAGGAGGCGGAACGGTAGGCACAGTTGGTGAGTAGGCTTTATCAGGAATCTGTAAATAATAATAGGATGTTTGACAATTGTTGAATGAATTCATATTTTTAAGAAAACACGTTCATAGTAACGTAGCCAGCCTTCAACTCAAGCAATGGTCATCAAACGTACTGAAAAATATAATACGAGTGCGTATTTTTGAAAATAATTAAAAATGAAATAAGTTCAACAAGAACAATTTCTAAAAAAAGAGATATGGAAATCCGCTCATACATCAGTTTTTACTTGTGACAGTGTCAGAAAGGCGCTCCCGTAGTATGTGCATCAAGATGGCGCACACTCGGATAGCTTGATACATACTGTGTTCAGGTTGTGCGCCATCTTGGTGCAAATACTACGGGAGCACCGCTAAAATAGCTCTATTCCCGCGAGGCCACACACGTGGCAAATGCTACCCGGAAGATTGACCTACTTAACTCACTTCTGGGTAATCTGATTTTTCTAGCAGTGCCGGGAGGCTTGGTCGCTTCCACTCCTTGCCTGAAACAAAACGGCATAAATTAGAATTACCTGTCACAAGTACATTTCACAAACGGGTAATTTTGGGAAAATCTTCGACAATTTTATTATCATGATATCACGAGCTACAGTTATTCATTAGCAGCTAGTAGGCTTTAACCTAATAAAGGCAGAACTTCTTATTTACGGATTACATTTTTATTCCAAACAGGAATCGTATACTTTTACAAAGGCACACTTACTTTCAGTTGCTAATAACAAATCATCTCCGAGTGATTGGCTCCTTTTGAACGTATTACGAGATTGGTTTATGACGTCATCGCCAGTTCGGGTTATGACGTCATCAGGCGATGACGGAAGAAGAAATGACATATCTACCATCGTACGCAGGTGAGGCTCTTTTACTGTTTGACGTAATCTTTTCCAGCGCGAATTTATTTCATCGGGGCCTATGACAGCTCTGTCATCTCCGTCTGTTTCTGAAACGCTGTTGTAAAAAAAACTGAAAACGTAAGCCAGCAATGGTTCAAACTTCTACGACATTTAAAAGCAACTCCAGATCCGATTCCGTATTTACAAAAAGTTAGACTCCGACCCCAACTCCGAATCCAACAACAGAATTTTCACCACAAACTTTGGCACATACAAGTATGAATTCGTATTTACATTGTCAATTTTATTTTATATTGCATATTTGACGTGTCGAGACAACGGCCCTAAAAGTGGAATTCTGGAAGAAAAAATGCTTTTTAAGCTGCTTTTCTAATCAACGTTTGAAGCAATATTTACCAAAGGATACTCCCGTAGTATGTGTACCAGGTTAGGCCATAATTTTATTCCAATTTTTCCTATTTCAGTTCTATTACGAGTTTGGGGGCTGTCTGTATTAGCCAAGTGAATATACCCCCTCGCCCACAGTTTCTTCCTGGAGCAACACAATTTCCAATTGAGATGGGGTCTCGGGGTCATGGTTTGAACAAACGTGCATAAAAAAGTCCACATTCGATTTCTAACAGAAGTACTCACCCATTTTCTTGCTTCGATTTTAACGTATTTTTTCCTACCAACGGCCTGTTTGAAGGTATATCCGAATACAAGGCCGTTTCTGATGCGGATTTCGGTATATTCAGCTTTCTTGGACTCGCTACAGGTCTGTTATTCGGTACATCAGAGTACAGCGAAGACTCAGAAACACAGCTGAGCAAATTTGGCATGCTTCGTCTATTATTTGCCAAAGTATTGCTAATATTAGTCTCGGCTGGGTGGTTAATTCGTTCGTCAGATGTAAGACACACAAGAGAAGATCTGTGGCTAACCGGAGACGAATACGTGGGCTCGTTAGAGATGAGTAAATTGTCTTTGGGTTTGGCAGTGCTTGTATGCACTGTGGTAGAAACATATTTGTTTACGTCTTTAGTGATGGAATTCGTTTCAACTGGTGATATCGGAGTGCTTGTCTTCAAAGTTGAGCTTGGTTTTCTTGGTGTTAGTTGCGGGTTTTGTGGTGATTTCTTTTCCGCTAGATGGGTGTTATGAGCATTTTTGGAAAATGACGATTCCTGAAAATGGACCCACGTATTATAAGTCAAGAAATATAATCTCAGCACGGATGTCAATATGTGGCAGAAACGTTACTTGAGTACAAGAAATATATACTCATTCTCAATTTATCAGTAATACTCTTCCGTATTCATCATACACTATTACGGCTGTTATTGTAGGACCCCTTTTCAGGGGGAGGGGGTAGGAGGTTGTTGAGGAACGCTTGTCGGTGTCGGTGGGCCATAGACATTTAGCTGGGCCAAAAAAAGTAGTGTTCCTATGTACACAACGAGTTATAAAATTTGTGATTGCCAGGTCGTCGTAGGAGAGGCAAGAAAAGAATGCAGCTACCGCACCGAGTAAAATAGCAAAATATTTATCGCAGCAATAAGGGCAAAAGCATTGTATTTTTACCCACGTGAGCGCCTTAAATATAAACTGTCGGATTAGGATTGTCCGAGTGTTGACAAGGGCCATGCTAAGTGTCTTGTTGGGCCTGGTTGTGGCCTGCGGACCGCACGTTGCATACCCCTGTTTTAAACATTTACTCTTTGTGCATAGGTATATTTGCTTGCGCCTAGCCTTGTTCCCAGAGAAAGAAGTGAAGAAGAAGGAAGAATCATATAAAAATATACTTACCCCGGCAACGGAATTATTCGCTTTTATCGGAGACACAACTTTTTTGTTGTTAGATGGAGCCTTGACTGGAACTTTGTTCAAATTAAGAGCTTTGATACGATCTTGTAGCGACGGGCTACTGCCGGAATTCATTGTTTTAACCTAGAAAAGTGCTACTTAATCTTAAAATAAGCCTAAATAATGAAAATATGGCTTATCTTTTGCATTTTTCAAATCCGTGATATTGAACTATGCATCTTTGGGAACTTTTATTTTACATTACTGATATACATACATTACAGTCCCACCAGCAAGACTTTGTATGGGAAATGTAAAATACATCTAATTATACATACAGTTTAATTAGAGTTTCTAGTCGGGAAAAAGTCCTAATACTTTAATCTGGAAAGTTTAACTTCAACAAACGTACTGAGCACAATAAAATATACACAAATTTTTTGTTGCCTCGTTTTGGAACCAATACAGTACAATTAAATTTAGGATTCTCACATAAAATGTATAACTTTTATGATATAGATCGCGTTCAATACAATTTCCTATTTTTATAAGGCTTTGCCGCGCGTTCCCTTTCAACGAGGCTCGGTATGTATGTAGTATGTCCACTAATGAAGATACCATAATAATGATATCACATATATTCCAATTAAAGTCTCTGGAAAAACTAAACGAAACTTATAACAGGTCTAACTTTATTATTCTTACTCTTATATACGTCATTCAGTGAAATTATGCATTATGAAGTAATAAAAACAAACCAACAATGAAAAATTCTACTGCGCTTCCAAAATAATAGTAAATATTACTTGCATTTACACTAAATTCAATTTATATTCCTTCAATAGTGAACGAATAATCATAAATATAATGAAAACAAATTTCAATTTTGTTTATTTCCGGTCAATATGTGAGCTGTAGTACATAATTTTATCCTTAGAAGTATATCAATTCATATTGGCCGATATTTGAGCCTCGCTGTTTCGTGTTACCAACTGGACAAGCCAATTGACATGCAAATATTATTCAAATTAACTATTTTTTTTACAAAGTATTCGAACCTTCCTACTCTTTCCTGATTCATTGTCTTCGCCCGTCGTCGCTTTACTTCAGAAATGAATCATAAAGATTATGCGCGCAATGGAAATGTACTAAAATTTCTTTTGTAACTTAATAAAACGATAAGGGAGCTATGCTTACACGGGGTGATCCATGAAATGACAGAACCCATAAAAAAAAAAATTCTTGAACACTTGAACTCCTGTTTATGAATGAATTTTTTTTTGAAATATTAGATTTTCCACAGCTTATGGCGACCCATTTATTTTTTATGACATAACACAGAACACAGCAATGGCTAATCATCGTAAAACTACCGTGTTTCCTCGAAAATAAGACCTGGCCTGAAAATAATACCCAATTTGAATTTTAAAAATTATTTTAATTAAACCCTACCTTTGAAATAAATTCAAAATGTGTGGGAGAGGAAAGGTTCAATAACCTAAGTGTATATTTATATAACGTGTACATTTATTAACTGGGCAGTAATTGTTTTTTTTCAATCCTGTGCATATACCTTAAAATTAGGCCTATTGGTAAACTTTCCTTTCCTCGTTAACTCAAGTTTGAAATTTTGTATCTTACCTTAGTCACCGATTACGATTATACACTGCTGAGATAGGGTATCCAGGCCGGATAGCGACTGTCAGAACATCGACTGTCATAATGGCGACCGCATTAAAACAGCGACTGTTATGATAAAGACTTCACTTTTTGCTCAGGAATGAAAATACTGAATTAGAGTTAGGATTAGGGTGTGGGGGATGGAAGGTGTGTGTGTGTGCTGGGGTGAAAGAGTGCGTGTGCGCGTAAGCCTTGGATTCAATAAAGGAAGTGATGTCGCTGTTGTGGCAGTCCCTCACTTAATTACGTCGCTATTATGAAGTCGCCATTATGACAGTCACTATTTAAAATCCGAGCCCCGCTTTTTATCTCACCCTGATTGCTGTAATTGGTCTTCTCTCACACCCAAATTGATTGCTCGTTTTGTTGAATCAGGGTTAGATAAAAAGCGCTGTTTGTAGTCGTGTTACTATTTCAAGGCTCAGGTTCTATTTCAGGGCTAAGGGCTGATGTTTGTTTAAATCTACACTTGATTTAAACAAACATCATCCCTTAGCCGTGTTATACAATAATACATGACCCGGTGATATTCCTGACAGAATAGACTTAGCGTCCATGGAATCTCGTGTCTTACTTTATGCATTACTTTAAGCAGCTCTCATCTTATTATTAGGGCTGGTTATTTTCGAATACCTGATGCTTTCAAATCGAATATTTTTCGAATCTAATTGAATCTTGAATATTTGGAAGATATTTAATTTTATGTAATTTTCTAATTGTAAAGACTTCTCCAGACACATAAATTACCAAAAATGGAGAATCACTCTGTTGCTATCACTCAGACAGTTCGCTGAGTGTTCACACAAAATAAAAACTCAAAAGGAAGAAAGTCTTCTAATGTCAGAGTTGCATTGTAAAAATATGCCTTCGATAAAAAAATGACGGAGATACATCGACCTTCGCGGATTAAAAGGCAAGATGGCGGCGATTCAAAATTCCCGTCTGAACCGATTCAAATAATTTCCCGGTCGATTAGATTCAAATATTCGATTCGAAATGCCTAGCCCTACTTGTATTAATTTTTGTTCGTAACTCTTCTAAAACGATTGGGGATTGGGGGCGGTCTCATATTCCCAGCTTGGTACAACAAGCGTACATCGAATCTCACTGGTTCTTCATTGCTTACCTAATTCAATACAATCTGATTGGTGGGCACCCAAGAAACCTTCTAAAAATATCTTTTAACAAAACAGTCCAAAACTCTGGCTTTCTAGTATCCGCTGTTGCGCATCCCGCACGTAGACGAAACTTCAAAATCGCAAATCTTTGCATATAAGGCTATATTGCTTACTATACCGCATATATTACAGAACGTATATGTCTCGTCACAATCATAAAATGCATAACTTTGTGTGACGCGATAAAAATCGTCCAGGAAGCGTTTATGACTCAATAATATCAAATATGATTTCGTCATTATTACTAAATAAATATAAGTTATAGCTAGAGACAATTTATACCCTATAATATAGCGCTCTGTATTACTGCGATATGTGAAAATTACGAAATTATAGTTGAGGAGGGGAGATCCCCAATTTTATAGGATTTTTACAGTATTTCATGTTTCTATTCCGGGAAGTTTCAAATGAGAATCTTCTCGAGTGGATTCTCTTTATATAACTGTATTGATTTAACCCAGGTGAGTGCAACAGGTGGCTCGCGGGCCACAAGGCGGCTTTTTTTTCTCTTGTCGCTGCGTTAAATCTTACGCTGTTTTACCCGGTGCCTTTATTAGAGCTACATTCTTTTCTTTTGCCGTTTCCGCTAAATTTTTGTGTGGCCCAGCTAGATGTCTGAAGTTTGTTATACACACACCAACAAAAATGTTGCACACCCCTGTTTTAACTACTTGATACTCTATCTCTATCCTGATGCGTGGGCTTAGGGGATTCCCCACCGTCAATGCCCAACAACAACTATTTTCGCAACAAACTATCACTATCAGTAGAGGTTACGCGACACTAACTCCCAATCCTTCCTCAATGCCTTTGCGCTAGTGGATCTGTATGCTTATATTGCAAGGATGCTGTAGCAGGAATAAACATGACCATACTATGCAATTCAAGAGTCCTGCTGCACATTAACACAAATGTATTTCTAGAGAACAGCGTATTCCTGACGCTTAGCACGATGAGCCACACCGCCGCCTGCTGCACATTAACACAAATGTACTCTGTAACATTTCATCCGACCAAAAGCAGACTTCCTCAGACAAACAGTTTGTTGTAAACTGATTTAGGTCAAACGAAACGTTACAGAAGTACATTTGTGTTAATGTGCAGCAGGGCGCGACGGTGTGGCTCATCGTGCTAAGCGTCAGGAATACGCTCGCCACCGCAAATCTTATTACTCTGCGTGGGTTCGCAGGTTCGAATCCCATGCAGGGATGGTTATGTGCGAGAGAATTGCTGGGCTTCTCGTCGCTGTAGGGTGGTTCACGTAACCGCTTGTTGGTTACGGCTTCCTCCACCATCAAGTCCATGCTTCCGAAAACAAAGGGATGGTTATGTGCGAGAGAATTGCTGGGCTTCTCGTCGCCGTAGGGTGGTTCACGTAACAGCTGGTCGGTTACGGCTTCCTCCACCATCAACTTCCGAAAACAAATACCTAACTAACCCAATACCCGACATGGAATGGTAACCGGACTAGAGGCGTGGTTCGTCATATGGTTAAGCCGTCTTATCGGCTTTCCTCGCCCCCGGGATAAATATGTAAATCCTAACTGCATTGTAAATTTAATATTTATATAACTTTCAATATAGCACCGAAGGGCACAAAATTCAAGGGTTAAAGAGGGGGAGGTTACCCAGTTCAATGCGGATTTGGGGTAAATACGAAACACATATTTTTCTGGGACGCATCATCACACTCAGGCCACACAAAGACATTTGTTACGGATTAATATTCAAATTACAACATTCTGAAATTGCGTGAATTTCAAACTCTGCGATCACGCATCACTGATCTAGTCACGCATGATTTAAAACAACCTCATTATTCATTATGTTATCTTTACTTCAAATCTTTAACTATTCACAATCTAGTAAAATGGGTAAATTTAACTATAACTTTGAAATAACTTTGAGAATTAGCACCTTAACATGAAAATTTCGGTGCTCCCTTAGTATGTGTACCAGGTTAGGCCATAATTTTATTCCGATTTTTTTTATTTCAGTTCTATTACGAGTTCGGGGAATGTCTGTGTGATCTAAGTGAATATAGTCATATATACCCTGCTCATAGGTTTCAGTCCTTTTGCACAACTTAGATGTTAAGTAAGCGAACAAAATTAGTTACCTCTGTATTGGTACACACACTTCTGGAATGCCAAAATTTAAATTAGATTTATTTATTTTTTAGCAGTGTTATCGATACCCAAATTGCCAAATTTACTCGATAAAGCAAGTAAAATTTTTCAAATTTTGATAACTGTATCACCGCTTATTTACTGTATTGCATATAAATATGAGATAACGTGT